TATGAGGTCTCCTTGTGTGATTGTTGGAAAATTCAACTATCATTCGTTCACTAGAAATTTCATTCCCGAATAAGAAATTATCAAAAGCCAAAGACTGATTTTTGAGATTATGTGACAGAGGTGTGAATTGGCCTTACGATACCATTGAGTTTGCCTTGCATTGCCCTCGAGTCGGGATATGAAATCGCTTCGGGAGGACGGTTTGGCTGAGGCCCCTGTCACAGCATTGTGTGAAAATCTCCACCCTCCGTTCATAAACACATTAAGCTGCCTGAGAGGAGCAAGTTATACAACTTTGCATTTCAAAGGAACAATTGACTGGAGGACAGTTGCAAATTGCCTGTACCACGAACCGATTGTGATTATGCCATTTTCACGAACAACTACTCACCAATTCACGAAACAGGGAAAGCTGACCGACCGCAAGCATTATCATATTTATATCTAATCATGTAGCCTTTTTGCTGGCTACAGTCTGCTTGCATTCTGAAGAAATTGTTTTCCTCCTTTTTGACAACTTAATCACCTTTTCATAGTTGCAAATGGCGGTAAGGGAGTGATAGTTGAATTGTGTCGTAATGCCATATCGTTACATTTTGCTCTGCTATACCTTCCAACTGGCTTCAATCAGCTGCAAATACCAAAAATACGCTTTAACCACATTAGATGCGATTACCAGATCACAAGCTTCATCATCATATCTAAGACATTAGGTAGACAATGTGATTTCAGCCTGTGAGATGTCTCGAAAAAGTGCTTATAAAATAAAAATTATTTTAGTTTTTTTTCTGATTTTGCTTGGAGTGAGAGAGCAACCTTGTGTACTCAACTATCTGCGCATGTGACTGAAAGTGAATACAGATTTTATTCAATATCTGCTGACAGCTTTGACACCTACTAAATCGGCTTATGAGTAGTCTAGTCGATTTTAACGGTAACTAATAAGGTTTCGGTGTTGACAACCCTACAACGAAAATGTTTTATGAGAGGGGCCTGGCTAGTTTCGAAATGCCTGTCCGTCCCTGTAGCCCATCGGCACTTATTGCAGTTTGGCGTAGCGACAACATGTCGAAATGATACACTCCACGATGGCAACTTGGGTTCAATTATTGTTGGGGAGGCGAATACCCTTTGGGAGGCTTTACTAAGTGAAATTTTATGGAAATATGAGGCCCACTCGTATCATTTTGTCGTAACAATCCACCCTTCTGCATCGTCTGCCCTAGTCGTCAAGACAACTTCCAACATCGGACAGTTGCTATGGTATATTCCGGCATTTTTAACCGGTATTTCAACCGCGATCTGATTGCAGATTAACAACTCATCAAAGTAGAGAGTCAAGGCAATCCTTTGGACCAATGTTCTCTTTAACTATTATGGCATTTCTTCTTCCCTTCTTCTGTCTCAGCCGATTAGTGCTTTATCTCTTTCCTCAATTCCACTTCATATGGCCACGTATCCTGTCTACACATTTCGGGATTTTCGTGGGGATGGTACTTACACTTGGCTAAGCCCACTGGAATGATCATAACCTTGGATAAATTGCAACATACGAAGCTACCGTTGAGTGCGGATAGCAAATTTGGCCATATGAAAAGGGATTGAGGAAGAAGAATGTATCACCAATAGGCTGGAACGATAGGAGATAAAAATAAATCCCTGGAAAGCCCGATTCTGGAAGGTCTTATGACGACCTGGACAAACGATGCAGGACTGGGTACATTGCACAAGTAAACCGATTGAATAGGTTTCGGAACTTTCGCTAGATTTTTAAACTACTCATAATCCAATTAAGTAGGTGTCCAAGTTACCAGCAGATATCGAATAAAACCTGTATTCACTTTGGGTCATATTGGAGGATAGATGAGTACACACGGTTGCTCTCCGACTCTAAGCAGATTGCAAGTTCGAGACCATGCCAACTGAATACCACTAAAGGAGTCTGTGACCAAGTCTATGTCCACACCATTTTAGCCCTCACCACAATTGGGTCAATGTCATATTAAAGAAATACTGATATTTTCTAAAAGTACTCATTATGCGTGTAAGTAATGGCGTCGATTATAGCGGCAAATGCCAGTTGTCTGAAAGTGTAACAGAGAATTATTATCATTCCTTTAGCAGACGATGCCGGTCAATGTACATTCTCCATGCTCACCATGACGATAT